CATCATTTTACAAAAAAACAACCCTCCTAAGTAAGCATATGTAAAAATGTATAAGAAATATAAAGAACTTATTTATTGCATTCAATATTATTGAAATCTTGCCTAGCAGATATTGGTGTTCGGACATGCTTCAGGTCAGGGAAAATGAGATGAAATCTTCTTCTAAAGGTATTCAATTTTCTCTGGAACATAAAATAACCTCTTGAAATACACTTGATAGTTCAATTACCAATTCTTGTTTCTTTGCCAGAAATATGTTTCTGGCAATAATGTGCAATGTACTTGGCTTTGCCATAATACTATTTTTTGGCTTCTGGCTGCAGATTTATTTTTTCATGGGAGTCAATGATGCTTTACAATAATGCCTTTTCTGGTCTTCTGATGTCCTACCTTTTAATATTTCACCACAAGAATGTCTGCAAATTCAAAAAATTTAAGTTTCTGAACACTGAATGTCACTTTTGAATATAAATGTGATATTTTGGTGGTAGAATGTTTCAAAGTAGAATGTTTCAAAGGGATACATGAAGCCAGGCACGGTGGCTCATGCCTGTAATTCCATCACTTTGGGAGGCTGAGATAGGAGGATTGCTTGTCTGTTGCCCAGGCTGGTGCAGTGGCGCGGTCTCGGCTCACTGCAACCTCTGCCTCCTGGGTTCCAATTCTCCTGCCTCAGCCTCCCGAGTAGCTGGGATCATATGTGTGTACCACCACATCAGCCTAATTTTGTACTTTTAGTAGAGATGGGGTTTCACCATTTTGGTCAGCCTGGTCTCGAATTCCTGACCTCATGATCCCCCCCACCTCGGCCTCCCAAAGTGCTGGGATTACAGGCGTGAGACACCGTGCCTTGTTACAATTCCTTTTTTACTGTCATTATTCATAAGCTTGTACTCAAGGCCACCCATTTCACTGCTCACGTTTATTTTCAACTAGGCCTGAAATGGTACCAAAAAGGTGAAAGGAAGGTTCTGGCTTTGTTCCAAGTGAATCAGGCACCTCCCCGTTGTAGCACATGCTTCTGCTTAGCTTCCTATAGGTCTTCCTTCATCTGTTCGACTTGCTCGCTCACTCACTTGCAATTGTAGGCATTTGCTTTATCATCCTTTGGTGAGGCTGAGGTTGAAAGTGAGTGTGAGGGAGTATGGAAAGTGAATAGGAATGAAGAAACAACTGAGCAGATATGTTCTCTGGCCACCTAGTCCTAATACAAAATTTGATAGCCCCTACCCAAAAGAATGTAAATCATTCTACTATAAAGACACATGCACATATATGTTTATTGCAGCACTATTTACATGTAAAGACATGGAACCAACCCAAATGCCCAGCAACGATAGACTAAAGAAAATATGGTACACATACAGCATGGAATACTATGCAGCCATAAAAAGGAATGAGATCATGTCCTTTGCAGGGACATGGATGAAGTTGGAAGCCATCATCCTCAGCAAACTAACACAGGAACAGAAAACCAAACGCTGCATGTTCTCACTCATAAGTGGGAGTTGAACATTGAGAACACATGGACACAGGGAGAGGAACAACATATACCAGGGCATGTTGGGGAGCAGGGGGTGAAGGAGGGAACTGAGAGGAGGGGTCAAAGGTGCAGCAAACCACCAGGCACATGTATACCTATGTAACAAACCTGCATGTTCTTCATATCTATCCCGCTTCTTTTAGAAGAAATAAAGAAAAAATAATAAAAAATTTGATAGCTCCATTGCATTACTTGATGGGAGACGCCAGCTGGATGGCAGGGGGTCTGTGGTCTGTGGTCATAATTCTTGGTCCAATCTAAGTTGATGAAAACTGCTCTTGGAAATACTTATTAATAGTTCTGAAGCTAACTTGAATAACAAATATCGTGTGAAAATAGATCTTACCCTGTTTCCCTGTCATCAGTCACTTTTCTAATTTCATCCTGGAATATAAACAGATAAACTTTGTCTAAGGAGAAGCACTATATGTTTTTAATGACCAATACAATTTATCTTTGAGAAACTTGTTTTTCACCACATTATGTAGCCCAGTAAATGGCTAAGGGAATTGTATTTTTCATAACCAACAACTCTCTCGGTGAGGCTTTTCCAAATAGATACACAAACCAAGAAAAATATATCATGAATGTTATTGAAAAAAGTAGTTTTTTGAGACAATGAAAACATTTATTTGATTTATTTAAATTAAAGCAGAATGGCAGTGGCTCGTTTTTAATTCATGTTGTCTATGAAATTAAAGCATCTTGATTTTTCATGCTTATTGTTCCTCTTTTTAAATGGCCAACCTCAGTTGCCTATTACTTGCTCAAGTTGTTTAACCTTTGAGTATGTTTTTCATCAATAAGTAAACAAGTGTATTAAGATGCCATATTTTATCATGTGGTCAGTAGTCTCTTTTAGAAAATCCATTTGTCCTCACAGAGTATTTACAGCCCCCAAAATATGTTATTTTCCAATAATGAAACAATGTTGTGCTTAGGAATCTGGTAATAGGAATAGACTATTTGCTAACACCCAAAATGCTAAAACTGAAAGAACCCTCATAACTGTTTAGAAACTAGCATATGCAGTCACTTAAAATTTGGTGTGTAGGTACATTCCATAAATTCCAGAATCAGCCTGACGAAGGAAGATGACTGATTAACACATGTTCCAAGTAATTTGTAAAATGATACTGATCATTTCTGAAGTCCTCTTAAACTTCACAAATTTGAAATGTGTGGAAAGGTATATAGCAGAATCTTGATTTTGGATATAAAATCTTCATATTTTTTACAACGAACTCTGCAACTAAAAGTGATAGTTTATGTTAAAATGCCAGTTTTTGCAACTAGCATAAAACTAAAAAGTGTTTCAAATACCTCAAAATGGCTGACTGTATAAGAAACCCTGTGCCTCAGAAACAAGTATGTAGATAGAAATAATGTTTACCAAAATCAGGGTTATATGAATATATTTTCCTTTTTTTTGTTTTTTGAGACAGAGTCTCACACTCTTATCTGGGCTGGAGTGCAGTGACGCCATCGCAGCTCACTGCTACCTCTGCCTCCTGGGTTCAAGAGATTCTCCTGCCTCAGCCTCCTGAGTAGCTGGGATTACAGATGCCTGCCACCATGCCCAGCTAGTCTTTTGTATTCTTAGTAGAGATGTAGTTTCACCATGTTGGCCAGGATAGTCTTGAACTCCTAACCTCATGGTTTGTCCACCTTGGCCTCCCAAAGTGCTGGGATTACAGGTGTGAACCACCACGCTTGGCCATATAAATATATTTTCTAAGTGTGCCTTGAGTTGTTCATGTCAGCAACATTATTTATAATTAACTTAAAGCAGCATTTACACAAATTTTTCTTTTGTAGGAAAAGGTCATCACTACACACAAGGTTACATTATAAGGAATTTATAGAATAGTTTTTAAAGAAATATTTTTTCTTTTACCTAGAACATGTAAAATAGTATTATTTATAAGTGAAATGAAGTGAAAGAAATGACAGTTTTCAATAGGCTTGCACTAAAAACCCCAAAGACCTTTATATTACAAGAAACTGCTAGTTCTGAAAACGAAAGGCAAGCTAAAAGAATTTTTACTGTTCTACCTCCTTAGTTTGGAAAATGTAAAAACTGCTCTGAAAATATTTTATTCTTAATAGCCCAAAACACTTTCAATAAGGAAATGATTTTCAATATTCTATTAAACGGGAATCATAGGAGTGGTGTTTATGCAAAAATCTGGATTAGTGGAGTACAAATTAAATAGGAATTGTAGTAAAACAGAAACAGATTGTACAATCATAACTCTAGAGGTACTTTAAAAGTTCAGCTACAAAGCAAGATTTGGAAATGTGATTATTGAGTGACTGTGTGGGTAGCAGCTGTCTTCTGAGTTTGGAAGGGGCTGAATGTCTGAGTTTTCAGAGCTTTGTTTCTCATAGGATGCCATATTGAAATGGCTTACCAATCGTTCCCCAGAATTTAGTCTGAGAGGAAGATAGCTATGAACTTCAGATAAAAGTGAGTGGCCAAGCTTTTGTCATGGGAGAAAGAAAAGATTTATAACCAGACACATATGATAGTCATTTACTTTATTAGTAATGCTTTTGAACATAAGTAAATCTAGTATTGCAAATACCACACAAAGACGGGCTCTTACTTTGGGCTGGAGTGAGCTCAGAGACAGGATCCACGGATTTCCCTGGTGAATCCGATACTTTACTCTGGACAATTTTTCCCGTCATTCCCTATTTATTACCACGTTGTCCTCCTTTATCCTTACACTGTGAATCACACAAGCTCATATCATGGATGCAGGAGGAAAATAATACCTCTGATGCCAGGCTAAGCTCTGAACTAACCAAGATATACAGCAGGACTCTTGTGGATAGAGATCAATAGGTCTAATTTAATAGTAACAAAGCTATTTGTTCAATACAGTTAGATGCACCCAAAAGTGGGCTTGATAATATTATTCCAAATTGAATACTCACCCCAGAACATAAATTTTCTGTAGGCAGACACCTCCCCCAAAAGAAAGCAGAAGCCCAGTCTGTCTCCAGAACTCAGTAATCACCCTAAATGGTAAAGAGAGCTCAAGAGTGTTACTCTAATTCACTGATTCTCAAATGGGTTACAGCACCTAGGGACCCATAAACCCTTTCCAGGAATTCACAAAGTCAAAACTACTTTTATAATGACACCATTGCCTTTTTTACTCTCATTTTCTTACAAATATACAGTTGGGTTTCCAGAGGCTATATGACACATAATATTGTAACAGATTGAATGTAAAATTCAGAATCCATCTGATTCCCATTAAAAACCTTAATTAAATCGATTTTTAAAAATGTAAAACAATGCCACTTCTCTCACTAGGTTGTTTCCTGAACTATTTAAAAGTTTTAGTTTTGGACATCAGGTTTTGTTTTGTTTTGTTGTTTTGTTTTTGAGAATGATTCTCACTCTGTTGCCCAGGCTGATGTGCAATTGTGCAGTCTCTGCTCGCTGCAACCTCTGCCTCCTGGGTTCAAGAGATTCTCCTGCCTCAGCCTCCTGAGTAGCAGGGATTACAGGCACCCACCATCACAGAGATCATGTAATTGGAATTCAGTCCCATTCTGTCTGATTCAAAAGCCCATGCTTGTTCATCAGGGACAGGGTAAAGTGATGAAATAATGCCCTCAGCTCAGGGGCATTGCAGAAGTCAGGTCAGAGTTATCTCTTCTCCCTGTCTGTTCTGGGGAGCTAGCTTCCAGAATAAGAAAGGTATAGGGTGGTACCAGGTGATATTGAGGCACAGAGTTGCCTGAAGTGTCCTGAGAAGATTCCACTGCATTATTTAAAGAATGAAGGAGGATAGAGGGGGAAGTTTAGGGCTCTAAGATATCTCCACCTTTGCCAAGGATCTGAAGATCACAGATAAAGGAAGAGGTGAGTAATGGACAAAGACTTTGTGAGTATCTTACACGCACAAAACAAAGAGTGATATTATTACACCTTGGGAATGTAAACATAAGCTTTCCCATTCCCAAGACCTTTTCTAGGAGTCTGCAAGTCCAAACTATTTTCATAATACTTAGTTATTATTTCACTTAGGCATTCTTTATCTCATATGTATACAGTGGAGTTTTTCAGAGACTACAAGATGTGTGATATTGTAACACGCAGTCTACAGAAGCAGATATGAGAATCTAGCTGCATTAGAGAGATTTGCAAAAATGCAAAACAACATTACTCTTTTCACCAAACTGTTTTTTGTTCTGGAAAATATAGTTAATTTTCATAAATATACTTTATGTTAATATGAAAAGAGCTTATAACTGTTATTATAAATAAACTAGTGAATATTTTAATTTAAATTTATCATTTTAATTTCTAATACGATAATTATCAACACATAGATTCCACATAAACTAAAACTATTTGGCATCTCAACAGTTTTTTTATGAGTGTGAAGCCAGCTGGGCGCGGTGGCTCACAACTGTAATCCCAGCACTTGGGAGGCCAGGGCAGGTGGATCATCTGAGGTCAGGAGTTTGAGACCAGCCTGGCCAACATGATGAAACCTAGTATCTATTAAAAATACAAAAAAAAAAACAAAAATTAGCCAGGCATGGTGGCAGGTGCCTGTAATCCCTGGTACTCAGGAGGCTGGGGCAGAAGAACTGCTTGAACCAGGGAGGCAGAAGTTGCGGTGAGCCAAAACCATGCCATTGCACTCCAGCCTGGGTGATAGAGTGAGACTGAGTCTCAAAAAAAAAAAAAAAGTGTCAAGCCATCCTTAGATCAAAAAAGTTTGAGAATCACTGGCTACACTGGCTAATACCACCACTTAAACATAACTAAGCTATGACCACCAGAGTTGAAATGAATCACCCAAAGTAACTACAACCTGGTAGAGCTCACAAAGCCAGAATTTCCCACTGGAAATGTTTTAATAACACTGCTCTGACCCTCTCCTTCATTCTAAGTGAAGCCTTTTTCTATTTTCCTATTCTGTCTGCCCAGCTGTAGTCACTATACCCAAAGGCACATTGCTCTTTGTTTGCATACAAACTTATCTCATTTTAGTTATAATCAAGGTTTACAACTCACCACAAGCCAGGCTGCCCTGCCCCTCTTCAACACAGATGACCTCTCCATCCTCACCTGATTTTGAACTACTTTAAATATTCTTCTCCTCCAAGAAGCTCATAATTGGAAACAGACTTTGGATCTTTTCTCCATCTCCAGGGTGGTCCTCACTGAGCTCTTCCCTTGTACTACTATTTCTAAATTCTGGTTCTCCTTTTTAATTCTTTTGCATGATACTGCATTTGCATAAACTGAGGATTTCTATAAATGAGCTCTGGAAAGCTTACCCTGTTTCAAGGTTATTTAGAGAACAGAAGGAATGTGTCTTCATATGAGGTGGGAGGAAAGGAACCCACAACCCAGTCTTTCACTCACCAGCAAAGAATGTGTATGCTTTGGGAAGCAAGGACATCATTGCTGTGGATGACAGTGGACAAACTTCATCCACTGGAGAAGTTTCTTTTGTCTTCAGTCAGTGCCTAGGGAAACAAGTGGAAAAGGACCAGAAAACAATTTCAAAGACATATTTTTTTTTTCCAGCTAGCAACAAGATCACCTTCCTCTAAGGTAATAAAGGTTCATGCAAATATTGAGACTAATTGCTTAAAACTTGCAAACATCAGCAGAGGAAAACCAGTTATCTAATTGAGAAAATCACCGCTGAATTAGGAAAGATAGAGGGCATCTCTAATAGAGGTCTTCTCTACATTCCACTGTCCCAGATACAATGCAATGTACCTCCTATATTGAAGTCACTTCACACTTAGGCAATCTGGCCACCTCTTGGCCTCAGGCTTTGTTGCAGGTGGTTGGGATGGTACCTCAGCATTTTGAGCAGTCATAGCTGTTGACCAAATGGAACTGATTAATAGATTCTCTATGGTAAGTCCTACTCCCTACACAGATCATGCATCTCACTCACCAATAATACACCAAACATTCTTGATAATTCTTTGTAAAATTTTCCCTGTTGATTTTCTTTGAGGTTTTTAAATTTGTTATCTTTTATGTGAACATTTGATTAAAGAGAAATTCCTTGATAGGTTTGTGGGAGATCATGCCAAAAATGATAGAAACTTGAATCAGTCCCCTGGTTCATCCCTTCCAGAGTCTTCAGGATGGCTTGGGGACTGATTTCAGTAACTAAATGCCGACCTGGAGGAAGCTTTCATTGTCTGCTATTAATCAATTTGTTTTCCCAATGTTTAGATTCTTCCTGGAGAATAAATTTTTAGCCAAGAAGAGATTCAATCAAGAGAGTCTCATTATCTTACTCAGGACCTTGAAGATTCGGTGCACTTTAGCTGAGCCTCCACACTGCCACCAAGACATGCGCAGAGAAACTTTTCTCTAGGGGGCACTTCTGCAGAGCACTGACGAATGGAACCAAGGAAAAGAATGTGGGGGTTGAGCGCCTGCATCCACCCTCTGCTAGAAAGGGTTGCTTCCTCCTCCATACTTTCTGTTTTCCACTGGACTTTTCAGAGATGTTTTAAAAACCATTTATTGTTGTAAACATTGAACTAATGAAACAAAACAATAAAACTAAATGTTTAGAAATGTTTTTAACTATTTTAACACTTCAAATTCATCCATTGAGCCACAGATTGAGCAGCAATCAACTTGTGAACATAAGAAATTTCCACACAAGCAATAAATTTCTGTGTACCCTATATCCTAATGTAAAAACAGGTGCCAGAAGAGCCACATATGAAAACTGAATTACACAACACAGAGCTCCTTCTGAAGAAAAAGACAGAGGTAGGAACAACTGGTGCTTCGTTTCCGGATCCAATTCTCATTTATCATCACAGAATTACTGCGCCATCCTGAAATGCAGAGTAACTCGAGATCATGTTCAGAAACAGATCTGACAGACAAAGGTAACTTGCCTTTGTTGAAAACATTTAATGAATGCCCCTGAGACTAACAAAGCTTCCCAGACCCTCTGTGAGAAACACATTAGCCATATTGCAGGCAACTCCAAGGCAGCTGGCACAATTGCTTGAGGACTTTCCAAATAGCAAAATGCTGCTGATGGAAAATGTGACTCTCAGCACATTGGTATGTGGCTGCTGTGACTGTTATCCAAGGAGGGGAAACGAGACCAGAGTGGGGATGAGTGGGTTTCAGCAACCTTGCCTGGCCACACCTGGCAGAGTGAGTGACAGAGACACAAAAATGAAATATTAATATCCATCTTCCACAAAATAAGGTCACTTGACTTGAATGAATTCACTCTGAATTCTCTTTATCTCATATGGTGATAAAAGCAGTTAAAAACCAAAAGTTTGATAATCCTGACAACAGGAAAAAGTAGCTTTCTTCTCCCTTCAAACAAATCACTTTTTCTTTATTCATTTTCCTTCAAAATAATTCTATGCTTTCTTCACAAAGGATTACACATGACTCGAAATTCCAGTGTATTATTTGGGGTGGGAAAAGCTGGCAACTGAAGCATAAAGTGCCATGTTTTTGCAATTATCTCTCTTCTGCATCCCCCTCATGTGTTCCCTAGTGAAGGGGCAAAGCTGAAATGTGGGGCTGGGTGTCTAAGAAAAGGACGTAGCTGTGCTAATGGTGAAAATGTGCTGATTTTAAAAGGTAGTAAAGAGCATCCATGATACAGCTCTGTAGTCTCACTTCTTATTTCTTACAAAAATACGGCTGTTTTGCTGTTGATTTTGACGCTACTTAAGTCTATAAATATATTTTATTCAGACTATAAATAGTTTTGCTCAGATTAGCTTTGGAGCCCAATTGCATTACGTTTGTGCCCTCAGAAGGCAACTTGGAAATAATGGTGAAAAGCATGTGACCTACAAGATCGTCTCATGGGAAAAATGGTGTAATCGACGCGAGGCTTTCCTCTTCTTTTTCTTTTCTATTTCGAAGCATGAGAAAACAGATGGAGTTTTAAGAATACAAAATGCATCCTCCTTCTTCTTTGCTAAGCTTGAGTAGAATTGGTTAAGAATTAAAGAATTTATCAACAAATGAAAATAGCATAGAACACATGTGTTGTTTCCTAATTAAAATCTCTTAAAAATTAATAAATACCAAATGTAGAGGTCTAGATCGAGTTGTGCACTAGCACGAATTCACACACATACTTAAGTGTAGAGGTGCAGGAGTAGTTTTCTGGGGGGGTGTATGTGTGTTTACTCATTACTGCCTCAGGACTACAACAGATAATGGTTATATCAGTCATGTGCATAGATGCCTACATTTAACAGACACGTCTAGTCCTTGAGATATTAAAGTATGGATAGGGAATACAATAGCCTGTAGCCTTGTTTACAAGGGGACATTGATCTTTTCCTTGGTGCTTTTGGAGGAGGAGTGAGAATAACAAGAGCTGTAAGCTAACTTCTGGGTCTTGGTCTTGGAACAAAGGCCTGGTGGGGAGTTGGAATGGTGGAAAGTGTTGCCAGAAACATCTGAGAGCAAGGAAGTCAAAGAGGCACACAGGAGCCATAGAGAAGAGTGAAAGCCAGAAGTCAGTCCTTGGGATGAAGGTGAGGAATCAAGTTTGAGATACTGGTACAGACTATATATTATAAATGGGAGACTGGGTCAAGGATCAGGAACCGAAGAGACTGGGTACGGACGAAAGTGTACTATGATACTGATTAAAAATGGACTGATTATTATAGTTTGCCTTTGCTGCTATAACAAAATTATGAGACTGGTAATTTATAGAGAATAGAAATTAAGTTTTTGCATTTCTGGAGTCAGAGGAGGCCATGATCAAGGTGCTGACATTAGGTGTCTGGTGAGGGCCCTCTTGCAGCATCCTCACTCACATGGCAAAAAACAGAGGGCAGGAAAAGGGCACATTCTCTCTAAAGCCTCTTTATAAGGGCATTAATCTATTCATGATCGTAGAGTCTTTATGATTTAATTACTTCCCAAAGGCCCTACCTCTAAATACCATCACAATGGGGATTAAGTTTGAATATAAATTTTGCCCGTGATGTCATCATTCGAGCTATAGCATTCCACCCCTGGCCCCCCAAAAATCCATAGCCTTCTTACCTACAAAGTCCATTCATTCCATTCAAATAGCCCACAAAGTCTTAACTGTTTCCAGCATCAACTCAAATCTGTAAACTCTAGAGTCTCATCTAAATCAGATATGGGTGAGATTCAAGGTACTCTTCATCCTGAAGCAAATTACTCCCCAGCAGTGAGCCTGTGAAATCCCACAATATGTGCTTCCAAAATACAATGATGGGATAGGTATAGGATAGACATTCCCATTCCAAAAGGGAGAAATATGCAGAAAGAAAGGAGTAATGGCTCCCAGGTAAGTCCAAAATCCAACAAGGCACACAATATTAAATTTGGAAGCTTGAGGACAATCTTCATTGACTCCATATCACACCTTCCAGACAAGCTAGGGTGAAGTTTGGGTCTTCAAGGCTTCAGGGACCCCACCTCCATGGCATTACTGGGTACAGCCCAGACTGCAGCTCTCATGGGCTGGCACTCAGTGTCTGTGGCTTTCCTCAGAGAGGAATTGCCTGATAGTTCTAGTGTCTCAGGAGTAGCCCTGTCCCATACAATGTCATGAGACATTGCCCTTGTGAGGCCTCACTGCCATGGCATTTGGAAACTGTCAAGGCACTGGTGGGAGTGTAGCAGTGAGGACAAGCAGACGTCACTGTCGTGCCATCTTGGGTTTGTGAATTTTAGCCAGCTTCTTTACTGCAAACTGTTTTATCACAGTTTGGTCTTTATGACCTGTATCTTGTGCTTACTTCCTATGTCATTCTGTGACTTGGAATGACTTACTATCTGGGAATGCAGCCCAGTAGATCTCAGTCTCAGTTTATCCCTCCAGCTCCTATTCAAGATGAAGTTGTTCTGGTTCACATGCCTCTGACCCTGTGGCAATTCTCTGCCAGGGCCTTGAAACTCTGAAGCATCCTATGAAATCTAGGTGGAGGTAGCCATGCCTGCACAGCGCATGCACTCTGAGTACCTGCACAGTCAGCACCATGTGGATACTGCCAGGTTTTGCAGATGTGCTCACCAGGGGAACAGCCTGTGCTGTCACTTGAGCCACAGCAGTGGTGTGAGAGGATGCGGGGAGTGAGCAGAGGAGTGCCGCACTGGAATGCAGGAAGAAGAGACTTGAGGAAGCCCTGGGTCCCTTCCTCCCTTGAAAGGGTCCTGTCTTTAAGGTCCTGGTGCCGTGGGCCTGTGATGAGAGTGGCAGCATTAATAATTTCTGAAATGCCTTTGCGGTCATTTTCCGATTTTCTTAATGAATAACATCTGGCTTCCTTCTAGTCACACTAATCTCCTCATCAAAAGGTCACTTGGCCACACCCTTGGTTTTCTCTTTTTTTATTCTTTACATGGCCAAGCTGGGAATTTTCCAAAATGTTTACATTCACTTTTCCTTTTTATTATAAATTCCATCTTTAACTTGTTTTTCTCTTCTCACATTTTACTATAAGCAGTTAAGAGAAGTCACGCAGCGCCCTGAACACTCTGCTTAGAGATTACTTCTGTCAAATATCCTAGTTCATAGCTCTTAAATTCTGCCTTTCATAAAGCGGTAGGACATGGACACAATTTAACCAAATTCTTTGTCACTTTGTAATAAGGATGTCCTTCCCTCCGGCTTTCAGTAAGATATTCCTCATTTTTGTCTAAGACTTCATAAGAATGGCTTTACTTTCTACATTTCTGCCAACATTTCTGTTCCCATCTTAGATAATCTCTGTCGTTGAGGCTCGCTCCATAGCTCTCTTCTTCTGAGCCCTCACCAGAATCGCCCTGAATGCTCCATTAGTGGTAATATAGGTTTCTTCTGGTGTTTACTTTAAAACCATTCTAGCCTCTACCCATTACCAAGTTCCAAAACTGCTTCTGCATTTTCAGGTATTTGTTAAAGCAACACCCTACTTCCTTGGTACCAATTTCTGTCTTAGTTCATTTGTGCTGCTATAACAAAATACTTGAAACTAGGTAATTTATAAAGAAGAGAAAATCAGTTCTCACAGTGCTGGAGGCTGGGAAGTTCAGGATCAAGGTGTAAACATTTGATGTACGGTGAAGGCCTTCTTGTTGCATCCTCACATGGAAGAAGGCAGAGGGCAAGAAAGGGGCACATTCTATCTGAAGCCTCTTCTATAAGGGCTTTAACCCATTCATGAGAGCAGAGCCCTCACAATTTAGTCACTTCCCAAATATGGTTTGGCTCTGTGTCCCACCCAAATCTCATGTTGAATTGTTGGGGTAATCCTTAATGTTGGGGTAAAGGACCTGGTAGAGGTGATTGGCTCATGGAGGTGGATATCCTCCTTGCTGTTCTCATAATAGTGAGTGAGTTTTCATGAGATCTGGTTATTCAATAATATGTAGCTACTCCTCCTTCTCTCTCTCTCCTGCTGTGATGTGAATATGTGCTTGCCTCCCCTCCACCCTTCTGCTATGATTGTAAGTTTCCTGAGGCTTCCCTGGCTCTGCCTCCTGTGCACTTGTAGAACTGAGTCAACTAAACCTCTTTTCTTTATGAATAACCCAGTCTCAGCTAGTTCTTTATAGAGG